GGTCAAGGTCAACGTCAACAGTGATGTGGTGGACGTGGCCCTTGACCTCTGTGGTCTTCTTCCCTAAAACCCACAACCCCAGGCTAACCACGAGGAAAACACCTGGCAAATCCCCGGAGAGGGACCCTGTGAACTCCCTGAGCAGCGCTCCTCACACCTGTCAGGGTCATCAAAGCCAAGGAAGGCCGAGCAGCCGTCAGCCAGGAGGCGCCCAAGAAGACGCTGTGATGAATGGAACCTGGTATCCTCGACTGGATGTTGGGGCAGAGAAAGGGCATTCTGTTCAAATCAAGGAAATCCGAATAAAGCATAGACTTGAGCTAATAATTATGGATCGATATTGGTTCATTAATTGTGACAAATGTACCATATTAATATAAGATGCTAATATAGGGAAAACAGGCTGTGGGGTCTATGGGAACTCTCTATATTCTCTCCTCGATTTTTCTGTGAATCCAGAACTCTTCTAAAATAAAACACTTGTTAAAAAACACATGACTGGCTCCCAGGTCCCCTGTGGGCTGGCTCCTCTGGCCACTCCAGCACATACGTGCCCTGCTCCCCAGCTCCACTGAAAGCGTTCATACTGCTCCTCCACCAGCACCATCCTCCGTGACCTCTGGCATCCGACTCTGTTTGCAGCTCCTGCGTCCGGACCCCGCTGCCCCTGGACTCACAATGTGGCCACTCCTGCATCTCCTGCTGCTGCTCTGGCCTTCGCTCCTCTCCCACGGACCACCATGGTCCCCCCAGGACCACCTCCTGGCCCCTCTTCTTCGAGATACCCACCCCTCCCGGCGAGTTGTACCCAGACGGGGGCTGGGGTCCTAGCTGTGCATCTCCAGCTCAGGTGGCGCTGTGGCGGCAAAGACATCCTAGTTCTGGGTGTCTCCTTGTGACAGTGAGCTGTGCATCTCTTCAACTGCCCCACACGTGAGCACTCACCCTGCCCTAAGCCTGTTCCTCCCTCTCTGTCCGGCCTCAGTGAGTGGCATCACCACCCTCCTGGGGGCCCAAGGCCGAGTCCCGTGTGTGGTCCTGGGCTCTTTCCACCCCTCCCCCGCGACATCCCATCTGATCCCGGATCCTTGAACGCCAGCTTCTTACTGCTGGAGCTCTATGTTAAACACCCTGCTGTTGTCACTGTCACCGTCAGCCTGGACATCCACTCCAGCCTCCTGACTCCCAATGCCAGCCTCCTCCATTCCCTATACAGCAGCCAGGGTGCAACTGTAAACTGCCCATCTGACCCTGTGGCCATCTGCCTGCAATGCTAGGGCATCTCAGATGCC